CTTCATTTCCCCTAATTTTGTATTATCGGAAGATCCCGGTAATACAATCATTGACGGGACATTCGCAGGATCAGCGCGATGTAGTGAGAAAGCCTTTCATGCGATCATGTTCAGTTGCACTTTCTGGACTGGATAGAGATGCCCATCCCTGTGTGAAAGTCCCTGTTCAGCAACACCATGCGCCATGCCTGGGCACACCGTTGGTTGTGGAAAGGGCGCTGTTTCAAGGGCAATGAGGGCAGGCTTCTGTCACCCAACCTTTCCCTTCTAACCTTCCCCTCTCTCCAATACATACGCACTATGAGGCTCTCAAAGCGGGTCACACAAGCAAGCCTCTTTGGTGTAGACACCTTCAATAATGACAAGTCGGAGCAGGTTTGGAGAAGGGCAACAAGGAGAAGAAAACATGGAGGAAAGGTTGTGGGAGTTGGGCATGTTCAGCCTGGTGATAGGTCTTTGACATATCTCAAAATATCTCAAGCGTTGTCCCAGAGAGGAGGGGGCAGGTTTGTCCTCTGCTGCCCCAGAGGGCAAGACTGGGTCCAATGCTTTTAAGTTATGGGAGGTACATTTTTTAAAAAAAATTAAAAACTGATCTCTTCCTGATTAGTTTTCCTGGTCCCAGGAGCCAGCCCATCTGTACGTCTATTACTCCCCGCAGCACCCCTTGTTGCTGCCGTTTATTCTGCGGACAGTTGGCATGCTGCTCTATTTTAAATATTGTTTTAATCTGTGGTTGTTTAATGATTTTTTAAGAGGTGGAAGGGACTGGGTTTTGGGATTGATCTTATTGTGCTGCATTTTTACGCTGTAAGCCGCCCCGATTGCTTGGCAGAGGGGCGGGATATAAATACATTATTATTATTATTATTATTATTATTATTATTATTATTATTAAAATTATTTTTATTCACAATACACAATAACAATCACAGGCGTCACACAATAAGCATTACACAAGACATAACACAATATTACTATGAAAAACTGCCTGACACTATACCCTTTCAAACAAATAGTACAGGACGTAGTTTTTGATTGAACATTAGAAGGAACTTCTTCACAGTAAGAGCAGTTCGGCAATAGAACCGATGACCTAGAGAAGTGGTGGGTTCTCCTTTTCTGGATCTCTTCACAAAAGAGGCTGAACATTTACCTGTTGGAGATGATCCAAGTGCATGGGGCAGTGGAAGTTGAACTCCATGGCTTGAGGAGGATCTGCCAAACTTGAGGTTTCTGTGATCCCCTCTGGATGTTCTTTGTGGACATTTAGGAATCCCACTTTGGCTCTACAGAAGGAAAGAATTTGGCTCTTAAGATCCCCAGTTGCTGACTTCTCATGCCATTAGAATAAGCTGAGCAGGGAGTACCATGTTGTCTGTGTCTCGTAATACCGGGATTCGAACAGTGTTGCGTGCATAGTTGACCCTTAAGATCTAAAGTTCCCAAATTCTCATAATATGAGAAGGACTTGATCAGGGTGCATAGTGTTGTGTTGGCTGTGTGTTGGTTTATCTCTTTCTCCAGCTGTTTATATATTTCATAATATGACAACATGGTTGTGGTAGGGTAAATTCGTAGAATCCTGGACCCCTAGAGTTGGCAGGGGCTCCAGAGGCCATAAGTCCAACACACACACACCCACCCTTGATGCAGGATCTGTTCTAGAGCAACTCCAGTAGAGAGCTGTCCAGACTCTTTTTAAAGCTCTTCACTGAAAAAGACCCCACCACCTTTCCAGATCATTGATCATTGGTTCCATTGCACAACTGCTTTTATATCTTGTGTTCAAGTGAAACAATCTACCTTCCTGTAGTTTAAAACCATTAGAGCAGCAGAGGACAAACCTGGACCCTCCTCTCTGGGACAGCACTTGATGTATTTAAAAAGTGCACACTGTGTGGGTAGGCCAAATGTTCCTATACTAGCACAAGGAAGTGTATTTTGATTTAAATTAATTTTGAAGGTGAAAGATGACATGATATAGGCATACAAAAGGCTGCACAATGGAGTGAAAATGAATATGCTTTTTCTTCCTTCTTTCTAATACTTGAGCTCAGGATTATTTGATGAAATAGACTACGGTAGTTTCAGAACTGGTTCTATTAATTATTGGAATATGTGTCCATCAGATGTATTCTTTGTTATTTGCTTTCCATTTACATTTATGTCTTCTTTCCCTCCCTGGAGATCAAGGGGGCATCCATGACTCTCTTCCTTTCTACCTTTATCCTCACAACAGCCCTATCAGGTAGGTTAGAGAGAGAGACCGACACAGAGAGGTTGACTGAGATGAGCTCACCTAGGAGTTTATCATATGGGAGGGAATGGGCCAAATCCCGTGCAGAAACGGGATTTAAATCTACAAAAGTGGGATCATTTTCAGACGCATTGAGCATTAATCCAAAATTA